CATAAGACAGGCTGAACAATCCAAGCTTAAGGCATGGCTAATCCACCTCATAAGATCATCCCATGAAGCAATCGACCAACTTGCTAGTTGAGCATGGGTCAAGACCCAACACATCAAGAAATGGCCCCAATTGGTTCAACATAAAGCTCAAACTAAACAAAAGGATTTATACAAAAAATAAAGAACCGTTTGTAGTACAACATCAAAAAAAAGCTTCCCACAAACAAACAAAAAAATCAAAGCAAAACCCTTCAAATATATATGTAGAAGCATCCAATGAAGATGCTCAAAAGTTGCAAGCATATCCACATTAACATCCTAAGAGTGATTGTAAATTTAGAAGGTTATGCCACATATAAAATAGCCCAATAATTAAAAACTAAATATAAAGCACACTAACTAGCACAATGATTTGCTTAGAAGAATTATTCGTGAGTACTTCACAAGAGACTATAAAATGAGGGAATAGTTGATATGTTCAAATAAAATTACTAAGTACTAACTAATCCTAGTAGACCAAACTAGGGCATATAGAAGAATGTTTCGATAATCTTTATGCAATAAGGGTGAAACAACATTAACTCTAAATCACAACAATCAAATCATCTCAAAAAGCATAACGGACCCAAAAAAAATCAAACAATAACCTTAATACATCAACTAAGATCAAACAATCCACTAAAAATCACATCTAGCACCAATCTTAAAGGAATCCAACAGTCAGATACTAACCTCATGCATCACAAATATCAAAGATCAAAGTTCTATTCATCCATTTCTTACCCCATAAAGGGAAAAATAGTCCAACATCACTCTCAAAGATAATGTATCTCTATTCTTAAACCATAGATCAACCAAAATAATTCTTAACTAAAGACATTTCTCAACATAGATCTCAAAAATGAAATGTTTCCTCCCATCCACAATTCATATTTCCAAATATACTAAATTACTTTCCATCATCATCTTTATAATACCCCCTCCTTGAGAAGTCAAAGTAACTTTGAACTCTTGAAACTAATTCAATTTTCAAAATCTCTGGGGAAACACTTAACTTAGCCTTCTTTCCTAAGCTTATAATCTTGCTTATTAACTTGAATATTCAGTGTATTCTAAGATAAAAATTTCTCAACACAAAATCATCTTTTATTTGCATGTGTGTCTACAATAAGTGTGTGATCATTGTGAATCACATACCCTAAAGGTCTCTACCAACCTCGAACTATTTGCATTATGTAACAGGTATTATGATAAGAATATGAAGAGTGTGATATTTCACATCAATAATAATTGTGATCATCAAATTATTCATGATAAAGACCATAATATTTACATGAATAATTCTCATTTCTATCATAATTGTAATGATTATTATAATATTTATTATCATAATATGAACCCATCATAAATGAAATTAATGAGGGATTTCATTTTGGAGAATAAAATTATGAGAGTTCACCAATATGATGAGATGGAGAGATTGATGTTTCAAACATGGAGTGGTTCATGAATTACCTAAGAAAAAGAATATTCAAAAGATTGGTTCTGAATGGACGTTCTATGAAACAAGATTAGAAAGGAAATAATGGTAAAGGAGGGAATGATGGGGGAAGGTGCATTGGCTAGGTTAGTTTGCATGCATCAGAAATTAAGGGGTGGGAATATGGAAGAACTTTTAGGGTTGTAATCTTTGTAATCCTACTTTTAAGCAGATCCAGATTTTCAACCAAAAAAAAGGGAAGGACATAAAACTAACAATAAAAGATCTCATGATCATATGAAAATCAGGAAAGGGGTGGGGACAGCATCCAGCAAAAGGAAGTGCAACAACAACAACAAGCCATTATCCTATTATGTGGGGGGGCCGGCTACATGAATCATTTTTCTCAATTATGTCATCTTAAGAGTCAAATTCCCATTTAAATTTAATAAAAAGTATCATTTTTAATGCTTTATAAGTCTTTTTAGGTCTACATCTACCTTCCTTAAACTAGGTCGAATTTAATACATCTACTTTCCTAACAAGGTTATCTGAAAGCCAACATTTTATGTGGTCAAACCTTCTAAGAAGACTCTCTAATATTTTCTGCCAGTAGAGCAACTTCAACCTTTTCACATATACTCATTTCGCATTCTATCTCTAAGTGTACAGTCAATCATCCACCTGAGCATCCTCATCTATGAAACACATAACTTGTTATGCTTCCCTTTTAATGGCCAACATCCTACACTATAAAGTATTGTAGGTCTTGCAATCATCTTATAAATTTTCTCTTAAGTTTGAGGAGTAGTTTACTATTGCACAACAGGCCCACTGCATTCCTCCACAACAAGTCCCGAGCCCTGAATGAAAAAAGTGGAAAGTTACGTTAGGTAGTTGAGGAAGAAAGCAACTAAAGAAAGGAAATGCAAAGATATAAATTTTATTCATAAATGTGGTCTTATAGATTGAGGAAGAAAGTTTATTTTCATAGTTTCAGTAAGGAAAGATTACGCTTTGCATCTTATAATTGATAATATACTTAGTGAGGGAGCAAATAATTGAAAGAGGATGAGATATGAGCATGTAAAAAGGGCAGAAATAATTTTAGAACTTCCTCATCAAACACATTGAGTAGAATAAAAATTGAGTATATAATATATAATTTTAGTTGTCTAGGATAATAATTATGAATCAATATTATTAAAACACAAAGCAATAAATAAAAAATAAATTTTTATAATTTCAAATATATTGGATTTATATAATTAAAAAATGGAGATAAAAATAAGAATATTAATAATTATCCTCATTTTAATCCCTAATAAGAATCAATAATTTAACCAAAAGCAACTTTACACCACAATTTCACAAGGAATAGCTCCTCACATGACATTTTAGATAGAAATATATGTACTGAACAAGCCTAAATACATATACAAACACTTATTTAGAACATAATGAACGAAGGTAGTGACATCCATGTGTTCATGTCTCAAGATTTAAGATGAATAGAGCTTCATTCAGTACAATGGTTACTATTTGAAAATCCACATGAGAATATGGTAAATAAGTCGAGTAAAATTTCTTAAGTTATTATTTTATTTAGTGGTATGCTCAATTGAGCAAATGAGCTACCTAAAGGTTATTTTACATTTTGGTCAAATCGCTTTATATGTGTTTTGCAAGGCCAAAAGACTAAATAGTTTGAAAAAATAATAATATTAAATTGTGGATATTTAAAGAAGCCAAGCTTTAAAAATTGATAAGCATCATATCAATACATTAGTTGTCTCCAGTGCTTTAAAAGGTTAAAGTACAAAGCAACTTCAATTAAAGTTTACATTTAACATATAACCCAATAAGAAACACAATAGGATGTACATAAGGCCTCAGTTTTCCTCTTGAAGTTTATGTCCCTATGATATCCTCCCTACAAAGGCTCACACAATCAAACACTATTATTCAGTAGGGTGACTTTACGCATCCTCTTTGATATACACCAATCAGTGCATAACACAACTAAAAGCACTTACTTCAGAATTACTTTCCTCCTAAACTAAGCTTCTTATCAACAAAAACTATCTAGTATAGTAGTATCATATCAACAAAAACCATATAGTATCGCATCTAAAATTAGACATAAAAAGTAAAAGAAAATGTTATACATTCTCAATTGTAAATTTTTGTTTTAAAAATACGCATGAATACTCTATCATCCAAATAACTTAGTGGCAGTATTTAAAGTGACAAATTTAATGAAGCTCTTCCACCTCAAACTCCTTCACCATTAGAAACTAACTCATTATCAAAGTAAAGGTAAACTCTGTCATATTCAGTGCTCGTATGATTCTAGTAAAGGCGTTCTACAAATTATTATATTGGAAAAGATTGATTGCAAAACCATTTTGTTGCTCTTCTTGCTTTACTTCATTTCATCCGAAGCTAATATTGCCTCACCAATTGATCCCTTAAAAGATTGCACAAGTATAATCAAGGGTGTCGTTGCAGCCATACTAGTTAAGGCATCTAATAACTTTATCAATTTGTATAAAAAATGTTTTTTTTAGCAGCTGCTATCTTCTTTTGTCATCTCACCTTTCATGCCTACATTGGAAAGTGGATATGTAGAATGCTTAGCTCCATTAAATCCACCTATAAGCTAAAAAAAAACATTTCAGTGCTCCCTTCCATGTTCCAACTTCCCTCTAGTAGATTTGGTGGAAGCATTCCTAAATTAGGGACCCAAGACATGCCTCATTTTGCCACCATTTTTCAAACATAATAAAAAGTTTTGCCTTTGACTCGGGCATAAAAAATCAAGAATGATGCATAACATCATAAACACATTATCCTATGAAATACATAACCTGTAACTTTTTTTTGCAACAAATCCTCAAAGTCATTATTGTTTCCTTTTTGGAACTCCATACTAAATCAATCAATTATTGCTTTAACTCGGATAACTGCGACTCCTTTAATTGGTTTCGTACACCTTATCACACTTCCTTCATGCCCTCTCAAAGAAGTTTCTTAAAAAGGCAACGCACCGCTAATTATTAAAATGTCGGTCAATTATGCTTATAGATATCTTGAATACAAAGATTACAATTGCAATGCGGTCTCCAAATCCCACTAAACAAATGGTCCAGCTTCTCTAGCATTATCTATCATATTACACAAGTGAACAAAATTATAATTTCACTACACCCATGCAATTTATTAACAAGTCCCTTCTGTAAGAGAATCATACAAGTGACCACATAACAAAGATAAATATACAAACTATTATTAAACATCTTGAACGGTTGAACCATTGCTGCAGAAACGTGGTTTAAAGTGAAGTTGATAGCTTGATGCTTGACAAAACAGACTACCAGAATCACATACCATCACGACTATATTTGATATTGATCTTAAACTAATACATTTGTCCATACTACATTTAGATGTGAGAAGACCACTTGGTGAGAAAAAGGTACAAAACCAAACATTAAAAGTTCGAGAGCATCAAACAAACCAAGGCGGTGCAGCTCTTCACTTTCTTCTTCAAGAAATCATTTTTCACAAGTCACTGCTCTTTCTGAGTTTCTGGATCGCACAGTACATCTTCCTTCTGGACCCGACTGCATTAATCCCCATGTCCTTGAGATCCTCCAGCGTCAGCAGCGGTAGCACCTCATCGTCCACTTCGTGTATCTCGTAAACCGGTGCGTACCGCCCAAGCCCTATCCCCTCAAGCCACGGCCGGACGCCGCCCGACCACACCTTGAAACCCTCTTCCGAGGGCTCGTCCCCTCCGTCGGAAACCCTAACCCTAGCAGAAGCCCGACGGTCGTTCCTATTGGAGGGGCTCTCGGACTCCTCGACGAACTCGTCATCTCTAGAATCCTCCCCACCGCTCGATTTCAATTCAATGGCAGCGTCGAATCCGTCATCGAGCCGCGAGGGCCAGTTCGTGCGGACACGCCTCGTAGTGACGGCGGTCACTCGGGATTTGTTTGAGGGTTTGGCTGCTACGCCGACCGAAGAGGGGGCAAGAAGTTTGGAGAACTTGGAACGGCGGTGAGAGGGATCGTGAGCAGGCTGGTCTCCGATTTCACCGAGGCGGACACTTGGGCGGCGCTGCCGCTTCGAGACGGAACTGGGAATGAGGATCTCAGATGCCGGCGGTGGAGGGATTACCGGGTCGCCGTTCTCAGGTGGATTCAGTAGCCGAAGGTCGCCCATCAGAGCTCCGACGAGTTTACTGACTTGTGAGTATTGTGTAGCAGCAGAGAAAATTAGGCGGAGGGAAGGAAAAAGTGAGGCGGGGTGCGCGGTGATATGTGGCGGTAATAGAGTGATCCTATATTGGATACAGGCTGTAAATAGAATCCACCATATTTTTCGGTTCCTGGGCCTGGAAAGGATCAGGTTGACTCTGGCTTTGACATTAGAAAAAATATTTTCCAAAAAAAAATAATTTTCAATACAGGACGCGATATATATAGGCATCGGTTCTCATGGCTTGGGCCCCATGGAAAAGTCGCACGTTACTGTAAATCCCAAACTTAGGAGAAAATTTATAGAAAGAATATAAAATGGTTGAAATCAATTTAGATTTTGTTTGACATAATTTTTTTAGTTTTTTAGATTATTATCACGATTTTATTTTATTATTTTTGTTTTTATTTTTTTTTTTTAATTATGATAAGAATTTTTTTTCTTCAACCAAAATTGCTAATGTGAATTAGTTTTGAGAAAATCGTTGATCAATTTTTTAAGGAAGAATATATTTATAATGTCCACATATGATGACTTTAGCTCTTTTTTATAATTCAAATAATTTTATATAATTATATATAATTTTTAAAAAAAAATCTCATTAAATTCTCTTGTAATAGTATATATTGTTAAAAAAAATTATCTCCTAAATTTTAAATTAATTTTTCACCCCCTCTTAAAATCTTATAATCTATTTGAGATGGTTACAATGTTTTATAAAGTTGGTTTGAAATTACTATGGGAAAAATAGCTATCTGCTCTAGTTGCAAGAAATAGCTTTTCATCATAAAAATTTCTAAAAAATTATGAGAAAGTAGTAAGAAACTAATAGCTAAATAAAATTGTGATTGTTTTTTTAAAAATCAAAACGGCGAGAAAATTATCCCAAACAGACCCTTAGTGCCACTCGTGCTTCTTGATTTGAGAAATTGGAATTATGTTTATTAAGAAAATTTGATCCATAAATTCTAATACAACCATGTACATTATAGAAGTTTTGTCCTTCATAAAATTTGGGCAACCATAAATATTAAATTTGTTTATTATATATGTTTGATCCAAATAGGTCCATGGGGACACCCAACCTTACTAGCATCTTTTCCCAATTTTGTAGCTTTTCGTTTGAGACGGTTATAATATTTTATAAAGTTGATTTTAAATTATTATAGGAAAAAAGATTTAGCTACTTATGTTGCAAAAAGTAGCTTTCCATTAAAAAAAATCTGGAAAAAAAAATAGTGAGAAAGTAATAAGAAAGCAATAGGTAAATAAACATATTATTATTGTCTAAAAATTAAAGTAACGAGAAAATTATTCCAAACAAACCCTTAATACCACCAATGCTTCTTGATTTAAGATTTTTTCTTTTTGTATATATGTTTATTAAGATAATTTGTCCTTAAATTTTAGTACAACCAGGTATATTATAGAAATTTTGTCCTTCCTAAAATTTGGGCAATCATAATAATTAAATTTATTTGGTATATATGTTGGATCCAAATACATCAATAGATAACATCCGACCTTAGTAGTGACTTTCCATAATTTCGTAGCTTTTCATTTAGGACAGTTATAATGTTTTGTAAAGTTGGTTTGAAATTGCTATGGTGAAAATAATTTAGCTACTCTGCTTGCAAAAAATAGCTTTTCACCATAGAAATTTCTAAGAAACGGTAAGAAAGTAGCTAAAAATAATAACTAAGGCTTCGTTTGGGATGGATTTCTTATTGCTTCTTAAAAGAGCTTTTTAGTATAAAAAATTTAAATTTTATACTGGAAAGCTGCTTTAATAAGTAGTAAGAAAGTCATCCTAAATAAAGCCTAAATGAAATTTTGATTGCTTTCTGAAAATCAAAGCAGCGAGAAAGGTATCTCAAACAGACCCTTAGTATCATCCACACATCTTAATTTGAAGAAATTTTATTGTAATTGTGTTAACTAAGAAAATTTGATCATTAAATTTGAATGCAACCATGTATATTATAGAAGTTTTATCCTTCCTAAAATTTGGACAATCATAAATATTAAAATTATTTAGTTGATATGATGAATCCAAATAGGTCTATGGGAGACACCCGACCACATTAGCTGGCAAAATGAGAAGGCATGGGCCTGAAAATCTGTGGTGAGTATGGAAACAAAAGAATAACATTTTGTAAAAGGCACGTCGCTATGTAAACAGACTCTTTAGAAAGTGCTAAATCTTCTAAAATTCAGTTCTTCACCCTTTATTTATAGGGATTTGAGGGTTGCAGGAAAGGCTAAATAAAAAAAGAATTAAAGTATAATAATAAATAGATCCTCATATAGACTTCCCTAGACATATGTCAAGCCCAATTAGGTCTTATAAATGGCTATATCTTTTAATTCAATTCTTCAACCTCGGGGAAATTCTCTTATGTCTAGTACCCATGGGCAAGTGGGTATAGGTAAATTCGATAATGAGGGCTAATGACAAGATTGTTTCTAATGAGCCCTTGGAAGGCATTGGGGACCTTTTGGAGGGAGTTTGTAAACCGCTTTAATGTGGGAGGCGAGTATACTCAAGTTGCGAGGGTAGTAGACTCTATAGTTAGATGAGTGTGGTGAGGAAAGTACAAATCCTATTGATAAGGTCCTTCTCTCTAGCTTAGATGATGGGTTTCATTGATGAAACTACGTTAGAGTTTGTCATAAGTGGCTTTGAGATTATGCGCATATTCAGAGTGAGTCCAAATCTAAGTGATATGTGTGACCCCTTAACCTTCCCTGAGGAGGCGAATCCTTTTTGGCTACCTCACCAACATGGGGTTAATGACCCCTAGGATAGGCTACATTACTGAGGTCAGTAAGGAGCAAGTTCACCTATTAGAACATATCAGATATGTGCTTAATACTTGAGAATACGTACAAATTTAGTGCCTCGATTCACATGAAGATTTAGAGGGTGAGTGGTGAAAAGAGAAAGTGAATTAATAATGGCATTTAATGTAGATACAAAGTAGTTAAATGAAAATAAATGTAAATTTATTGCACTATTTTTATTGTAGCATCAGTTTTTATATAGATTCCCTAAGATAATAGGGATGTGACTCCACTCATATACGACTTCTATAATAAGTAATCTCATGCTTGAGACCCTCTTTTAAATATTTAGTTGTACCATAGTATGCTATAAGTGTGATAAGATGCATGGATCCCATCAAGCATGTCATGTTTGGTGCAAAGATTGTAAGGAACATAGTAATTCACCTCTTTAAGAGTGAAAAATCATATAAAAGGATGAGTGACCCTTCAATGAGTATGTAAAAATATGCTGCCATGGATCGTAAAACAATCAATGGATCTACTAGGCCTATCATCCTCCTCCCGTGTAGAGAATGATGGTGGAGCCTAACATAAAAAAGGACAGTTAATGTGTTTTCGACCAAGATTGTGGGTCCCCTAGAACCTACTGTTAGGAGTGGAGTAGTGGTGAGTTTGAGGAGACCCTAGACCCAAAAAAAAAAGTTACACCAAGAAAATTGTTGTTCTAGCTGTGAAGGAGACCTTACTTTTGAGGATGGAGTAGTTCTGCTATGAAGGAGACCCTAGCCCACAATAAAAGATGGCACCATGAAAATTGTTGTTCTCACTCTCACTAGGCTCATCAGGTGATGCCATCCTAGCTCAGGGACTGGCCACGCTTGAGACTTGGGTAAATTGAATTGTCATGAACAATACAAGTTCTATATTACTTCTACCATTCATTTAGTGAATCATCATATTCATCAAGAGCTTTTTCTAGTCAGTTAACACATTCATTGCAGTTATACTGCCACTGGTTGTGGAAGATATGTTGTATGTGCATCTTCACTTTGATATTGATTGCAGGGTGTTGTTGTTCTCTCCTTAGATATGTTCGTAGGATAGCGGACATATCTGTGAAATATTTTGCATATTTTGCAATATCATTTCTAGATAGACTTTTCTTGAAGTTAAGTCATTATTTATTGTTGCATGAGAGCCATGTTATCCATTAAAAGCATCAGATTATGTCATGAAATTTGATTATATTGTTTACAAATTCACTGTCAATTGTAAGTAAGTAGTGTTTGTAAATCTCTTTTCCATCCACATCCTTATACATTTTCAGTTGTATTTAAGTTGAAGATTATTATTTCACAAATCACAAGCTCATTTTTAATGCCAGGTCACTCTTCATGTGGTTCAATTTGTATCATCATTTGGTTTAAGTAAAGTTCCTTATGGTTCAGATCAGGTTCAAGTTCCATGCAATCATGAGTTTGGTTTCTTATAATTTGTTCATTCGAGTTCGAGTTAATAAGTCTTTGTTCATCATTTTCTTTATTTCCAAGTTCAAGTTATTTATGCTCAAGTTTGATTTAAGTCCTTGGCTTATGTATTCAAATTAGAATTCAGTTTATTTTGATGTTCAAATCATTGTCCAAATAAAGTCCAAGTCCCCTGTTATTTGGTTCAATTCAAGTCCTCATCACTGAAATTTTCAGCAGCCTCCCGGTGTCTTGTGGCATAGGTAGACATATTGCATACACTTAATGCACTATAGAACACATTTAGTCTGTAGGCCCAATACATCATTTACACAACATATCATATATTCATTGCAACATAAACTATGACCCAACCCCACTTGGGTTTTGAAAATTAAACTGTGATTGAATTTGTAGGCGTGCTCTAATAAGAGGTCCAGTGAGAGCATGTGATACTTGGACAACACATGTTCATGACACCTTAATGGAGATATGAAATAATTCATCACATTAAAAGTCATGAGTAGAGAAAAGGTAACACTAGAAGATAATACTACCATAAGGTAGTGGATATAGTTAATATAGGTAAAGTTAACAAATTTTCTATTAAAAATATTTTGCTAGTAGAATATTTAAAACACAATCTTTTAAGTATCAACTAGTTATGTGATAAATGATTCAATATAACTTTTTTTTTACAAAATGCTTACTAATATTAAATGGAAAAACTATTTTTGAAAGATTAAGAATTAACCATATTTACATGATTTATTTAAATAACATTGATAAGTCAAGTGACATTTGTTGCTTAAAGTCAAATATTGATGAATTATGGTTGTAGCATAGGAGACTAAGTCATG